ATCTCCTAATTTTAATACAAACAAATAATTTTGTTATTCAACAATAATAACGAAAATTTTGACAAAAAAAAAAAAAAACAAATAACAAATATTCGCTTCCATAAGTTTTCAAAAGTATGAATTCAAATTAAAAAATTATAATTGAAAAGAAAAAGAAAAAAAAAACACATCCTTGTTGAATAATTTATTATTGAAACTGGGAAATCTCTTCCCTACACATAAGAATTTCGAAAATTGTATACAATAAAAGGATGAAATTTGTATATGCATCTTTTATATTACCTATAATATTCTTCTTATTTTGTTGTTAAAAAAAAATGCCTCCTATTTCCTTTACAACAACAAAAAAAAATTTAACAAACATACAACTTCAATAGATCCTTAATATCCTTATATATAAATCCAATTGAGTCAATACCAGATTTATTACAATATAACCTTTCTCAAAACTCAACAGTATAAAAGCATTTCGATAATAAATGCTGTCATCTATATATTTTTAATGCTACGAGTATATCTGTACTGAATTGCATGAATTTTTGCATGAATTCATTTTGTCAAACAAAAAAAAAAAAAGAACCCACCTAATCTGTTACTTCTTTTATTCTAAAGTATAATAAACCCCTAAAATGTATAACCCCGTCTGTCTGTCTATTAAAATAAAAGGTAATATAACTATTATTATTTACCATTTTAATATTATCAGTTATGGATACAATTGTAAGGTATTTTGTCATTAAGCAATTGATACTTTTTTGCTTTTTGTTTCCTTTCCGAATTTTCCTTTAGTTCTATATGGTATTTTGTCGGTAGATTGTTTGCAAAAAAAAAAAAAATAAAAAAGCAAAAGTAGCAAATCCTGGATATGAAAATGTCCTTTTGTTTTCTTTAAGTGGTTTTTACGGTTGTATTAACAAATTCTGTTTGTTAATCTACTTTATATTTTCTGTTATACTTTTAATTTTTTGTATAAAAGAAAAATACGACTTTTTTTTTTGTCAATGAGATTTTTTTTTGCCTCAATTGAACAATCATTTTGGATTATTGTTCAAAAATTTGAGAAAAAAAAAAGTATGTGTTGCGTATAATTTGATTTTTGATGTAGATGAAACATACATATATACATTTATTTTAAAATATAGATTTAAAAGTAACTTTATAGGAGAGCGGATCTTTTGAAATTTAATATTTTTTTTGAATTTTTTTCTCTTTTTCAAAATCATAATGTATTTAAGGATATTTCTTAGATTAACATTAAAAGAAATCAAATGAAATTTATTAAACTAACAGAGTAAACACATTTGGAAAATGATGTATGTACACTGGGACCCCAGGTTACGGCATTTTTTTAGCAAGTTTTCATTTTACGATCTCTTCTTTTGCTTACATCAAAAATGTTCTGTTTAACACCTTTTCTTAGATTTACATCCATTAATTTTTGATTTTTTTCTTATTTCAATAGATTATGAAGTTTCGATGAATTATTCTGAAATTATTTTGTTTTTATTTACGATACGGAAAGGGCAAATGTAATTTTTTGAAAAAATATCGTAAAATTCTGCTTACATTTTTTAATGTGAATGTAATACAGAATATTAAACATGTTTTATATGTAATTGAATTTCTTTTTTTTTCAAATTTTACGATTTTGTTTTACGACTCCAAATTTTGGAGTGCATCTACGACGTGAATCGAGGACCTAGTGTATGAAAGTAAAATTACAATATTACAAATTGAAAATAATATACAAAAAAATATTTATTTTAGAATTCAACTACTCAGATGATTTAAACTCAAATTTATTATCCAATTATGTGGAAATTTAAATAGATTTTAAATTCAGTCAGTCAGTCTGTCTAAAAATTAATTGATTATGTTTTTATTATAGAGTATATTATTTTATGAATATTTACTATGAATAAAATTTTAAAGTAAACTCAAGGCAGTTGTTCTGAAGGAAGAATGTAATAATTTTGAAAATAACTCGATTTCAAATGAATAATGTGTGGCTCGTATAGAGAATTTAAAATAAATGGGATTTTATCTTTGAAAAAATTGTTATTCGCTTACAGAATTGTCTGAAATTTTGTTAAATCTTGTCTGATTATGGATTTAAATAACGAGAATTAAAATATTGCAATAGCAATATATCCAATTTTGGCTACTTATTTTAATTATTATAAAATAAAAATTTAATTACAAATATAACAAATCTGTGTGCATATCGCAATTCTAATCTAATGTGCGCATATACTAATCTGTGATAATCAATATCTTAGTTTGTGTGCGCATCGCAATACATGTAAATTGTTGCATTTAAACTATATATTTTACACTTGCCATTTATATAATATATTTATAAGACCCAGCTAAATTACCTTACCACTCTTATATACGAGATTTTTAAATACATAATATTATTTGTACCTTGTATAAACTATATACATAATAATATCATCACTGTCAAAAAATCAAATTAATATTTACTTAGTTTAATTAAGGACCCATATATGATTTATATAGTACTATATGTTTTAAGTTTTCGTTCAAAACTGTACAACTTATAAACTATATAATTTTTATTTGGTTTCTTGTTTCATTAACTTAGTTAAAATAATATTTTAATAATATTATACATTTTGAATTTAATTTCCTATAGACATGATATTTTTGAATTTTTTTTACTCATTTCTATATTCTTATATATTTCCTATATAGATATAGAGAAAAGACCTACCAGAACATTTCACTACCATGGTTATTTTTCATATATTATGTAATATATATAAGTACTTACTTATATAGTATGTACCTTATTAAAAATGAAAACTAAAAATATAATTTTATATAATTAGACTCTTTAAAGAGCGTGTCTAATGATAATATTAATATTTAAAAGTGAAATGAAATAAGAAATAAGAAACAAAACGTAAATAAAATTAATATTAATTAAAAAAAATTCAAATCTTGTATGGTAATATACAAGAGTACATGCATATACACACATACTCTCTTTTTATGCCATAATTAATTTTTTTTTTGTATATTTGTGCATATAAATTAGAATATGAAAACGACCTTTAGTAATTGAAGTGTTTCAGATTCAAATCAGTTATTTAATTGAGTAAACTTACTTGGAAAATTTTGCTTTAGATTTATATAATCAGTGCTGCCAAATAGATTAGCCCAAATATCTTAATTTTTTTTTTTAAATAATCGAAAAAAAAATATCTTCACGAATCTTCCGAAATTTTCAATTGAAATTCAAGTTAAATAGTGTAAGAAAGCAAAAATATCACGATTTCAATTCGAACCAAATGAGACACGAAAAGGGAAAGCTAATAAAGTGCACAATTACATACATATGTGGTCATAAGCCATTTTCGCATTTAGTTAATGCGCCCAGTCAATTATTATTGAACTGATTGCAGCAGAAAATATCAAAATTTATCTGTCATAGAAGTAGTGATATCAAGCGTTGCCTATTAAATTGTCTTTTTAGTCAAAATGCTTTTTTTTTGTTAACTTTGGAAAATATGGAAAAATGTGTAAAAAAATTGCAATTCTGAAAAAACATTTTAAAGATATTTTAATGGAAATTTCTTCATGCAACTGCAGAACAAATTATTCTAGGCGAACAGATTCTAGGCGGACGCTCTACCAACTGAGCTACAGAGGCATGAAGAAATTGCCGACGAAATGTTCTCTACATTGCTTATACTGTAATTCACATGATTACTAAGTATTTATTTTGTTTACATTGATTGCTACATACAATCTACTATTGAAACACACAATAACAAGAACATATATATTTATAGGATTGTGCCTATTGCACTAATTAAATTATGAATTTTACTAATACAACATCATAGTTGCGGAATTAATAAGAATGTGCTTATTACACTACTAATTTATCTTAATGGAAATTTCTTCATGCAACTGCAGAACAGATGGATGACCTAATCAAAGGAACGAGTTAAAGACAGAAAAATTCATTTTTAAAAAAATTTTTCTCCTCGAACTGGACTCGAACCAGTGACCTACCGCTTTCTAGGCGGACGCTCTACCAACTGAGCTACAGAGAAATTTCCATTAAGATAAATTAGTAGTGTAATAAGCACATTCTTATTAATTCCGCAACTAGGATGTTGTATTAGTAAAATTCATAATTTTAAAGATATTTTTTTATATTTGAAATTTAAAAATTTTAAAAATGTTATATTTTGAAGTTTTGCATAAAAAATATTATCAAAAAATCTTCACTTTGAAGATAAATCTTCATTTTTGGTAGCGATGTTTATTATATACTCATATGCGCCTTTGTATATATATATATATATATGTAGATATTATTGATAATTGAGAGTATTCTCAGACAATAAAATATTTCCTATAATCAATGTTATTTTTCGTTCTCTTTTTATTGTATGTACAACAAAATCTTTTGATAACGCTGTCCCGTCGGGAAATTTTTTTACTATAAATGTCGAGAAATTGCATTGCTAAAATATAAATAAAGAAATATAAAGAAAGAGATTAATATAAGATAGTTACTGTTAAAGAGAGTTGCATAAATTTAATTAAAATTGAAAGTATAAAAATATTTCCCTTTAATTTTATGATTTTGTAACTGAATAAGATTTAAATTACAAGTATATTCAAGTTATTAAGAATATTTAAAAAAAAAAAAATTATAATTTACAAAATTATTAAATTATATAAATGTGAAAGTGAGCATAAAATCTTCATATAGACTTTAAAATCATGTTCAACGTTAATATTTTTTAATAAGAGTCTTGTTTCTGCAAAAATTTTTCTTTTAATTATTGTGCACAGTTTACATATAGTAAAGGGGGTGCTCGTTATATCCTCATTGAAATTACAAAAAAAAAACAAAAAATATGATTTTATATAATTATTTTTTACATAATTTTTCGTTCTTATTCTCTTTTTTAATTAATATCCTCCTTTTTCCTTTTTACTATTATTATTTTAAGGTTAATCGTCCACTAACAATGAAAAAAGAAGGCATACAAACAAGAAATCGTAAATTATCATCAAAATCAAAAAAGAAAAAGAATTTAGGTGGTGCATGTCTTCCGATTAGTAGTCATCTTGGTGTTGGTATGAGTGACTTAATAAAACCATTAGATCCATCAAAAACATTTGGGAGTGGATTTTCAGCTTCAATGGGTAAGGTTTTTTTTTTTGTTTTGTTTTATTTTGTTGTTGTTATTTTCTTTACATTAATTCAATTTTTCTCATTATGACTGCTTTCTTAAATTTAATTTTTACTTTTCTTTTTGTTTATTATTTTAAATTCAGTTAAATTCTGTATTTAATTTCTATTTAATTGCATTTTAATACATATGTACATAAATATGTATGTCTATTGAAAATATGCATTGAATCCACATTGAATTTTTTCCATTTTATGATTTGATGAAGTAGAGAACAAAAAATTTTTTTTTTTTTAATTAAATTTATTATATTTATTATTAATTCCTATATAATATTATGTACGTACAATATTTATTATCTGTTATATTTATCTAAATTTTTCATTTTTATATAATTTAAAGGTCAACATGGACATTTATCAGGAGGATTACATCCAGCACATGCGCATATGCATGGTGGATGGTATGCAAGCGGAATGGGGGCATTAAGTGCTTCAAGCGGTTTACAAGGTGGATTTTCAACAGCTGGTTCCTTAGCGGGTAGTGTTGTGCCTCATTCACAGTCGTATCATTTAGGTTTAAGCTCGGTAGTAAGTATTATATTTAATATTATTATTATTTTTATAATTGTAATTGATTTTTATGAAATAATTTTAAAATATTTAATAGAGATCGGGATGAAATCGAAAATTTAGTTTTGCACTTATATTACCAGTTTCGGACTTTCAAATATACCATAAATTTTACGTCGTTACCTTACGTCTTAAGTTTTAACTAAGTTGAGGATTTAAGAATATCTTACATACAATTTCTGTTATGCCAAAAATATTTATGCAAAAAAATTTCCAAAATCAATATAAAATTCAATGTACAAGTATTTTAATTTAGCTAAGATAATTTTTGGTAATATTTTAAAATTTGTAATAATTGTCCTGTTAATGCAACATCTTAAACTATTACTATTGTAATAGTTCCTGATATTTCAGCAGTTCCTGATATTGTAACAGTAACTGTTCCTCATATTACAACCGCTTGAACTATTACAAAATTGTTCTAAAAACAATTATTTTATATTAAATCATCATTCATTCTTAAAGAGTAAGTATGAAAACGATCTGGGAAACAGGAAAATTATCAGGCTTAAGAGATAAAATTCTAAAATTTCTCAATTTCTTCGAAAAATATATATAGAAAAGCTCAATTTTTTCTGATGTAAAAATCTACAAATCCAAATCTACAAACCGCCAAATATTTTTATTCACTTTCAAAACTGATTTTTTAATTTTTTTCAATTGACTTGAAATATTCTACCAAAAGTTTTGCAGCTGTTTAATAGATTTCTGAATATGCCAATCAAAAACCGATATATTAAAGTCTTATACACAACATTAAAAAATATACAAAAATCTAAATTTTTAGATCAAATTCATAATTCAAATAAATTTATTTTTTCCATATTGGGCCAACAATAATTTTGGTAATTAAAATGGCACATACTGAACATGTTTTCCTTGTATACTGATCACAATTTAGTCTCTAATGGTAGCTAAGCTCTATTTTTTCTGTACATTTGCAAATTAATTTGAAATACAAGCTTCCAATAGTGTTTATTTGCTCTTGCTAATATGGAATGCAAATAATTAACGAAAATGAATTTATAAAAATTAAATAAAATTTAAGTGAATCGAATTTCAAAATTTGTTTCTTAATAATTTCTGGTTTGAACCAATCAAATAAAATCCAAAGTTATTGAAATCTGCGTGGCCGCTTTTTGTTTTTTGTTTACTTTTAAAGTTAATGACTTGATTTGCGAGCATGAGTTCATATACTCGTACTACATGCATATATGTATGTAGTGAAAACCGAGTGAAATAAAATTCACAACATAAATTTCAATTAAGATTAACGCTAATGGGTTTTAAATTTTTAATGATGCTTTTGTTTTTTTCATCTAAAATCAAAATACAAATTGATAATGAAATCTAAAAAATGTCACTTTACCGTAACTATCAAAATTAATATCGTTTTATAACGTTTAAAATGATGACTTTTTAATTTCATTTCTTTGTCTAATTTTTCATTTATTTTTATTTTTTTTTTTGTTTTTTTCAAAATTATCATAATAAATGCTAAGACCAAGGACACCACACACATTATCGATTGCATACCATTATAATCGAATTTAGAAAAAAAATCTTTTCATCTCTTGAATTTATTTTTTTTTTTTTTTGTTGTTTTTTTACGATAAAATTTGTAAACTTCCGAAAATGTAAATTATATACATAGTATAAATATGAAAGTGAAATATTTTTTGTTGATTATGTCAACTCTATACAACAGTAAGTAGCGAGACACAAAAGTTTATTAAAATTAATAAGGTTTCAGTTCCAAAATTTTAGGTCCAAAATATTTTTCTAACAATAAACTTTGATGAAAAATAAAGTTAGGTCAAAAATACTGCTTTTAAAAACAATCTGTTACACTATTTAAATTACTTTCCTCCATATTATATGTACCAAAATATATTAATATGTTGCATACATTTAGGATGAACAAAGAAAAAGTTTGAAAGAACCGTTAACATAATGGTCGAATTCAAAGAATAATTGTGCAAGTTATCATAGACCATTTTATAGTAAATATCTATTTGTATATAAAGCCCCATATTCTACTTGTCGTATCGCTTGACTTGATGAGTTGTTATGAAAAAAAATCTTATAACTTTCTGAGTAAAATTAATTTCAAAATTTGCATTTTCTATACTGGTATTCAAAATACTTTTCGATAGTATTTAATCACCCTAAGTGATTCCACTAGCAAATTATAGGTGAAAATTTCAGCTTTCTTTATTAAAGGGAATAGAAGTTTCGTGAAGAGACACTAAAAGTGCCAAATATTACAACTTGATAGAGAATTTTTAATCTCGCAGTCATTCAACTTAAGATTGATTAAGTAAAATTTTTTCTTTTTTATTTAACTTATAATTTGACTTCATAACCTGCTATAGGTGTTATTCCGACAACTTTGGCACTAAGTGCTGTAAGGTTGAAATTAGTGTCATAAACATAACACAGTTCATTTAAAAAATTTTCGTGTCTCTAATAAATAGGTTAGGTTAGGTTGAATTAACGCAGCTATTAGCAGATACATTGTGGATAGATAAACCCGTCGGCCGGATCTCTATATCTCCACTCTTACACAAACCTCCTCGAGTCTTTTAAAAACTGATTTAAATTCCTGGCATTAACATTCGACAAGCTGTAACGCGCATAAAGAAATTGAACCAAGAAACGTGCCTCTCCTGTATTAAAGCTGAGTACGACCACAGAAAATGAGGTACCGTATCTTCCTTCTCCTCCTCCTTAGTGGGGCGTTCCATTCTCTTAACATATTATATAACTATATAAATCTCAAAATCTCATTTCGATTAACAAAGTAAAATTTTACGTTAAAGTAAACGAACGTAAATATAAAAATTTTATACCACTCTGCGTTTAGCAAGACAAAAAAAAAAAAAAACGGAATACTAAATTAATGGCTGGTAACTATTTAAAAAAATAAAATGCACTCAAAAACAAAAGCTCCACTCATCATTAAAAATTTACATCGAAGGACGGTTTCCATTTTTAAAAATTATTAAGTTATCTTTGGGAAGGCTTTTTATTTACATACACTTTTGATTTCATAAATAAATTTAAACAGTTTGTTTCTCACGCAAATTAATGATCATTTTTTTTTTTTTATTCGAATTTCATATTAAATTTATGAATATTCGGCAGCTGATTACTGATTACATATATTTAATATAAATATATAGTAATATATATATATATATATACATATATAAGATTGCTACTGGTATATATACATTTGGAATGTGGTGGGTGATAAGATTAATTTCAATGTTAATCATTAAAAAAAATTAAAATAAATTTTCAAATTGATATGAATGACGTGACACGTCTGGCATCCGTGAAAATTATAAAATTTAAATTTGAATGAAAAATGTAAAACTCAATATAGTTTCTTCAAATTACCTACTAAATCGCAATAATTCAATATTTTTATTCAGTTAAAATTACAATCAAAATTATACATTTCATAAAATGGAACCTATCGAATGCATGTTTTGTAAAATGGCACATTTCCCTTTAGATTGTAGATTGTAGATTTTAAGGGAACCGAGTGGGACAAGAGTAACCCCCCAATCCATCGCAGCCATTCTTGACTTATTGTAGCCTCCCCACGCTCTCATCTATAGTATCCCAGTCCCAATCACAAAGCCTGAGATATCCCTAAGGGAGTTGGACAACAGTTTCCGAACACTTAGGGACCCATGTCCAAGACAATTGCGGCGCCGAACAGCCACTGCCAGACAGACGCAGAGAATGTGCACAGCGGTCTCATCGTCACCCCCACAAAATCCCTAGATGAATAGATTGATGAAACTCAAATCCAATAAAAAAACACAATATATTAAATAATTTTTGAGACCCTTTTGAAAGATTTTTGAGTTGTTCGGGAAAACCAAATTTATTCTGTGTGCATCAAGATACAAGAATCGTCTAATACAAATATTTTGAGATATTGATAAATTGACACATTAGATTTATAATTGGTAACGTTGATTTAACCTATTGAATATAGGTAGAGAAAATGTAATAATTTTTATTTGAACAGACTTGCTTCCATGTTAATATGGTTTCTATATAGTATGAGCTTTCATATACATATATATATAGGAGAAGCGTATTCGAGGTGTGATCTAACTATAGTGACGTTCATAGTAATTTAAAATTTTTGGGAATTACGCTTAATAAAGGAACGCATAGAAAATGCTTTCGATACTATAGAATCAATATACATATGAATTAAAATTTAAATTAATATCAAGGATAATTCTTTAATCTTTGAATTCATTAACCAACTATATGGCAGCTATTTCTGTTATATTTTGGTTTTTATAAAATTTCATTAGAACTTATTGTGTTAATTTCCCACAATTCTATTAGGAAGTTCTTTTTTTCGATTTTATAAGAATATGAATATATTGAAATTATTTAAAAATCTAAGTGACAGGATAAAGAATCCTTTGAGTTCAATGAAAATCGATTTCTTCACTTTAAATTTTTAATTTTACACAACTATAAGAATTTTATAAAAACTTTGATTTATATTTAATAAATTACTAAAAAAAAATTTTTTTTTTTTTTATCTTTTCAGGGGTCATGGCGACCTGACTATACGTGATGGACGGAGAATAGTTTAAATGGAAATTTTTTTTAATAATAACAAAACAAAATAGGATTTCTTTGTAATTATTATAAATATAATTATAAATATACATAAAAAATAATTAGATATATATATATATATAAATAAATAAATAAATAAATAATTAAAAAAAGAAAAACAAAAATAAAAAGAGAAAAAGATTTGCTTACATGCAATCAATAAAATAAAATAAATTAGAACACTTAACAATGCTTTAAAAATAGAAAAGATATTTAAGTACAAACTATAAATATATAAAAAAAAAATAAAGCATTTTTATTTAAAAAAAAAAAAAAAAAACAAAAATTTAAATATTATTGAAATTATTTTAAAACAAAACTATAAATTTATGGGACTACCTATATTAAAGCTGCCATTTTTCTCTAAAATATCTCAACCATTTTTAATATCATACCCCTTTATGCTCCCCATTTGAATCATCAAAAAGCGTAGCATGCTAGCACATTTGCCATTTGACAGTCTTTTATTTGAACAGTGAGTGAATAAGTCTGTATATACAACATAATCCTCGTCTTAATTCATTTTCTTATATTTATAGCAAGGCACTGTTTAGCTAATAAAATTTTGGAATTCAAGATATTTTACAAAACATTGTGTATAAAACATTGTAAATTAATTAAAAAAATTGTCATACGATTAACAAATGCCATTTGCCTGAGTTCTATACCGTAAATTGAACATATTTGAAATATGTTTTATATATATGAATTGTGAAGGAGCCCAAACGTATGCAAAAATAAAAATTTTTGAATTTCTTTTATATTCTTGTGAACATTTTATATCCTTTGTAAATATTTTGTGGAGCAAAATTTTTAGAATGTAAGAGCACATCATCCTTATATACCAAAAGAAAAAAGTAAAATTAATTTTTGAATTCGATAATTAATGTTGTGTCTTGTAACTCTCAATAAGAAAGGGAAATTAAAATTTTAGGCATAGTCTTCTCTTTTGCTTTGTTGCCTAATAAGAAATTTACATTTTTTAATATTAAACTTTGTAATAAACACAAAAAATAATTAAATTTCAAATATTTTGGAAGAAAATAAAATTAAACCATTTTTTGTTTTTGTATACATAGTAAGAAATCTTAAGACAAAAATTATATGAGAAATTAATGTACCCTGCATCGTTACGAAAAATAAATATTAATTATTCAAAAACGAACCTTTTCCAATATAAATACGAGTATATATGAAGGAGATAATTACCGTCCAAGAGTAATTCAATATACACAAATTATAGAAAAACTACTAAGAGGTAATTGGACCAAGGTAATTGAAGAGGTAAATGGAACATCATTAAATATGCTATATTTTCAACTGTGAGTACTCTTATAGCTAGAAACCTAATAGAAGACGAGATTGACAGTGCACATAGAAGTTAAGTAACAAAAAAAATTAATATTTTTACAATTTGTTAATGAAAGAAAGTATCATAGAATTCAAATGTAAGTTAACCCCTTTGTCCACTTACAGCTTCATTGTTATTATAAAAACTACTACCATTCTTAAAAATAAATTTTGTAAAGAGAATTTATAAGTAAAAATGTTTAAGCTCTTTTAATAACAAGTTCTCTTAAATGATGATCAAAAAATAAATATTTTAAGAGAAATTTTTCAATATACAGCGAAACAGTGAAAATGTGAGTATGAAATTTTTATAAGTTTTACATCATAGGTAATAAAAAAGGTATTTTATCTTAAAAGAGGCAATAAGAAATCTATTATACTAAATACGAGTATCCATATGTTATTTCCTAATACGAGATCGTACATCTCATAGAGGGTTTTCATTTATGCAAGCTTCGCTGAAAGTTCTACATTAGAACTAAAATTCATAAGTCGTAGCGTTAAACAGCCGTTCGAAAAATAACAGAAATGACATTGTTTATGAAATTGTATTCCAATACTTTTCGCCTTCCAATTCGCTACAAAAACAAGAAAATTAAATTTCCGAACGCAATTTATTAGAGTCGGTAATTTCCGAACGCACTTTATTAGAGTCAGTAATTTCCGAACGATTTATATTTTCAGTATATGTAGCGTGAATTTTCGAACGTACTACAAACTAGAACTATTCTAGAACTGGATAAACGAAAATCGCCATAACACATCTAAAAAATCTTATTTTATAATATTAACAACTCTTTTTAAGTATAATAATATATTAAAGTATTTAATTAATACCCTATAGTTGGATGATGATTATATAAAACACAAAACGGGTTAAGTAATTCAAACATAAGAATTTTGAATAATTTCACTATAGAATTTAAAGGATATACATATATAGATATATATATATATATTTTCTTTCAAGGATCGTTACTTCATTGTAGTGATCGTTACTAGTGCCAAAGTAACAAAGTGCTACTTAAAAAATTATTAGATTTTCAACTCCTTTTCTTCTCAAACAAGAAAAAATCCTCAAAAAAAAACCAAATGCATTACATTTTGAAATTCGCATACAAGGATTTTGGAATTCTTAAATATGAATTTAATCAGACTTTTTGTCCGAACATAAACGATGTAAGCGTAAGACTTTTAAGAGAAAATGCTATTATTTCGAAATGGTAATAATTTTCCAAAAAATTTATTTTGTAAATAAACACAAAAATATTTTCAAATATGCAGGCCAAAAATTTCAAATTTCAAAAAAAAAAATTTTTGTTTAAAATCTTTTACTTACTAAGGTTTAGCAAACATTCTAAAATCTACAGGAATAAGAATACAGTTCAATTTGGACAGCGAGTGAATAAGTCTGTATACAACATAATCCTCGTCTTAATGCACTTTCGCTTCTATAATTCACAATCATCTATTGCTAAGTTAATTTAATAAGTGTTAAACAGATTAACAATAAAATGGCCAGCCGGAACGCATAGAATTTTATAATATGTATGTAAGTATGGCTACTAAGTTGCAAATATGTATAGGAACGAAAAAATCCAAAAAAAAAATTAATAATAAGGAAATCCAAAACTTGAAATGAATGGTAGAATCGGAAAGTAATCAATGCAGCATCGACGTGTCATCATGTAAAAATCAAGTACGAAAATGCATCAATACGGCAATACTTTAAAGCTTGGTGTTCAAAAATATCACCGCATGTCAACTGATTTATTATGATGGCATCGTATGCTTGATAATATCATGAATCAGTTGTACATCATTTTTTTTTCCGATTTTGTATTAATGCAAAGTTTTTTTAAATGGAAGCTGAGACGCAAATAATTTCTTATTTTAACTCAATTATTTGTTTATTCACGATATTATTAATCGCATATAAACGCATCACATCGTTATAGCATCAGCAAATGTTTTTTGCATCGACGTTGCATTCATGCACATTTTTGATTACTTTCCGATTATACTCGAAATTTTAAAACTTGAATCGTGATTCTCTAAGTCTCTATGGTTCTGCTTTTAATAAATTTCCCAACTGCGAAATATTGTGTAAACTAAATAATTTTTCTTTATTAAAATTTATTAATCGAAATTTTAAATTGAATTCGAATGCTATAAGGTATTCCTTGCCCTTGTAATAATACAACACACATACTTATAAGTTTTCATATATACGTACGTATATGAACACAATTACAAATTTAAAATTCTATTTCAAATAAAAATTTTGTTTCAAAAAAAAAAAGAAATACACCGGCTTTATTAAATTAAAATTTTCTTTGTTCAATTAAAAATAATATTTAAATGAATATAGAATCGCCATTTTTTCCCTATATGAAATTATGTATGTGGGTATTTGCTGTACACTTACATAACTGCTTCATTACTTATTCAAATTTCAAATTATATTTATGTACAAACAATGTATATGTACAAAATATACGAACGCCATTTTCAACAGTACTGAATTATGTTATATATATACTATAAACATAGATATAGAAATTTTTCTCGCAAATGAGAATTATTTTTTTTTTTTGAGAAATATGAATATGTATGTATATTTAATTTGTCTCTTCGTTTACAATGTTTAATGAATCGTATGAAATTCTAGCTGAAAAAAAAAATCACATTCTAAATTTTTTCATATTTAAAATACGATATTTAAGCGAATTACGATATTTTCAATTGCATAATTTAATCCATACTTTCTAAATTTCAGCAAAATTTTAAATCTATTTAAAACTTAAAATTCTTAATGTGATTTTCGAGGTAATAATATCCATATCGCATTCTTTTCGAAATAAAATTTATAATCTGTTTGACGGGTATATATTCCGTCAGTATATTACAGAAGAGTCACGAAACTGCCATTTTTTGTGTTTCGAGAAAACCACATTTAAAAATATACACAATAATTGTTAATTTGCAGAGACGTGAAAAATTTACAACGTTATTTTTCCGAAAATATTTACTTTAGAGTTACTTGGGTATTTAATAAAGATAGTTTAGAAAATTCGGAATTTTTCTATACATATAACTCAAAAATCTCAAAGAGAAACAGTTGCGTGTTTCTTTCATAATACGGACGATATAAGTATAAGGGTAAATTCAATATTGTCAATAATTTCGTCAATTTTGTGGCGAGAACTCATTTTCCATAGAGAAAATTTATACAAAAAATTTTCACGAAAATAAGGAATATTCTCATATTTAATTTCTCTTTTTCAAATTTGCATTTCGCAAACTTTTCACACTACAGCATAAAAATAATAAAATGGGAATTAGGAGTCAGGAAATGGAAATCTGCAAGTCAGGGTAATAAAAGTATATATACAAAAATTCAACTGAAACATGAAATTACGTATAATCTGCAAAAGTCGAATTTGCTGAATTTTTAAATAAACATGTGAAAGTTTCTTGTATAAAAGTTAAGTCTTTAAGCAAAATTTATAGATAATAAATATTGTCGAATTTTTCAAACAGGTATTAGATTTTAGAATACTTAAGAAAAAGCTTTACTTAAAGAACAAAAAATGTTAGTTATTATCATCAGAATGTTATATATAAAGTGTAGGCAATTGGATTTTAAAATAAATAAAGTGAACAAGGACCGAACAGGAAACTAAAAGCTTTGAAATATTGTAATTAATTAGTTTCAAAAACCAGATTCGACATAGTCGTATCTGGTTTCTATATATGTAAAAACAGATATTTGAACAAAAATTATGCAATGAGCATCGAATATAACACCCGTGTAAAAAT